TATTTCGAGGAGTCAAAAAAAATGTCCCATAAAGAAATAATGTAAAGGTAAACGTACTCAAACACGTCGTTATTCTACAAGTCGCCATGCAATTCTGCATCATGAATGCATTGCTACAGTTTAAGCCAGCTAGCAACAATTGTCCACAATTCACGACACCAGTGTCTGGACATTGGCCGTTAGCACCAGGTTTATTGCACAGTCCACAGGCCCGAGGACATCCTGCTAATGCCGCCGGTGCCGTGCTTGGATTTGTGCATAAATCTTGTGCTGCCACAAATACATCGCAATTAGCAGCGGCTGAAATACGAGTCATATTCATACATTAAAAAATTTCAAACGCTGTTAGGATACATAGTATCTGTGAAAATATAAATTGTACGGCAATACGGTAAAGAAGCTGGTAGAAAAAAGAAACGTACAATTTTGGCAGTTAAATTCAGGTGTTAAGCAACAAACTGCGCAAGACGAGGGACATAATGCTTCAGCATTTGCCATAACAGTCACATTTTGGCAGTTGGGATTGACACGGAACGGATTTGTTCTGCAACAGATTTTATTTACCGGGTCATTTCGAATCGGGAAGTTTATAATATACTGGAAAAAATGCAATTTAATTAATCGAACTCATGGAAGAAAGTATTCAAATAAAAACTAACGCAACAGCATTAAGAGGTATGTCCGGAACTCGAGGAGAAAAAATAGCGCTGCAAATCACTGGATCTTTATCCTTGCAAGCTGATGGCGGTGGCAATGGTCGAGCAACACCTCCAGGAGCCAGGCATTTATTCAATTGCACTCCTTCTCCCGACTCACCTTTGCGCACGAATATAAGAGCTATTAACAGAAATAACATCACTGAATGATAAGGCTCTCCACTATTTGCCGTTCTTAAATGCTTGCCAGTAGAGTGGGTTCACCTGTTGATTATGCATCAGTGTGATTTACAGTAAGTAAATTCTATTTATTGCATTCTATTAATATTTTTTTATTCATTAATTATCGATAAGCGGATGTTTGTTTCGTTTTTTTTTTCGTGGAAATAATAATGGAAATAATTTTTAAGCTTAGTTCTAGCCGATGGGATTTTTTAAAAATTATTTCTAAGAGCGAAGCTGAGAATTGGACGAAGAACTGAATTTTATAGATGGCAGTATTTTGTTTTCAATGATCTTTTCTTGAATGCGAACAACTTTGCAGCAAAATGGCAAAATCTCAAAATCCAAGGGTATTGAAATTGCTGAGTTTTTATTTTCGGATGACTCCTTCAAATAAGTATTTTTCAATGTCTTTTCATAATTTCTTTTTTTGTGGATATATTTTACCAGAATAGTTGTCATAAACATTGGTTTGGTTGGACAATGGACGACTAGAATTTTGCCGATGCCTTGCAGAATGGCATAGTGGCAATATGCTGGACCAAAAGAATCATAAGGCGAATGGCTCAATGTTTGTTCCAAAAGCTGTGTTAAGGCTGTGTTAAGAAACATTTCGGATATTGACACCATTTTTTTCCTTTATATCTTGTCAATAAAAGAAACCACAGTGGAAATGGTGACTTTTGCCCAACTAACTAGCATTTTGCTGTGAAATCTACTGAGACTTACTTTATTCCTGAAATGCTTCTTTATTGCTATTAAAATCGTCAAAATTGTTTTCACTGATTTGAAATCTCAAAAAATTAAATTAAAATAATTAATGAAATTAAAATAATTTGTGTCAAATATAAATTGTCAAACGACGCCAAGATTAGCAATTTTATTATATTTGCACTTTGGTTATTATAATATATTTAGCTCTTAATAGAAATTTTTTTTTTCGAGGCTTTTATCCACGGCTGAGTAAATTCGTGGGTATCGCATAAAAATAGCAAAATAATAAACGATTTACACAAAAGGCTTTTTTCTTTCTT